TAAATTTCTTAACTTTGTCAATTTTTATTGTATTATTTATATTTTAAACCATATTTTTTATTAAATTTATCAAAACAATATATAATTATAATTTTATTGAATCAATGTAAATTTTGTATGAATTGTATTAATAAATATATTATCATATATGCACATTTTATCGTTATCAAAACTTTTAAAACCATTATTATTTTAAAAAAAATTAAATTTAATGTAAGAATATTTAAAACATATTTTTTAAGATATAAATTTTAAATAAATATAAACTAGACATATATAGATAGAAAACTGAATAATCAAATAAAAAAATTCTTTAATGTTTGGCTAGAAGGAATTTCTTTTATTATCTTGTTATCAGGATTTTTAGCGATTTATTTATTTATTTAAGAATGTATTAATATATGTATTAAGTGCGAATTAAAGTTTCAAAAAAACTCAAAATATTGGAATCATTGTGCCTAGTTTTCTTTTTGACAATTTGCATGATGATCATTTAAAAGTAATTTAATTTTAATTTTCTTATTATTTCCTTCTATTCGATAACTCAAACAAAATTCTCAAACGAAGTCAAATTTTTATTCTAAATATTATTTTCGCTTTTAAATTAAGTTTTAAATTAATTTAAAAGTTAAATATTTTAATTACAAAAATAAAATTTTAGAAAATGTTATATTAAAGAAAATAATTGTAATAAAGAATTTTAAAAAATATATTTTAATTAAAAATAATAATCTAAAGTGAAATTAATCCTTATATATATATATATTTTTTAGAACTTTATTATATGTTATATAATATATATATATATATATTATCATCAATCTCTTACCGTTATTTTATATATATATATATATATTGTTATATGTATATAAATATTACATAAGATGAGTTTGATAATTGAATTAAATTATACTTTTCTTTTTTTTAAATATAATTAAAAAATAATTGTTAAAGAAAAATTTTATACAATTTTATATATATATAAGATATATATTTTATAATATATATATATATTATAATATATATGTATTTCTATACTTTTAAATTATTTTAAATTATTTGTAATCTCATATTATGTTTTCTTATTTTTTTATATTCAAAATAAAAGTGAAATAAATTCGAATAAATTCGAAAACTTAAAATTTAAAATATAACAAAAGAAATGATTATAGAAATGGTTAACTTGGAGAATGTAATCGTTGAAATGATCTTTTCACCATCCTACAAAATGGACACGTAATCAAAAAACCAACAACCGCATTCCTCATATACATGCTAATAGATTCTTGAAATCGCATAAAATTTATCTGATACGAGAAATCCATTTCATTCTATCACGAATCATTGCTCTTCTTCTCTTTATCTTTTTTTATCTAATGATATATATTTTTTTCTATATAGAATTTTGAAATTTATATTTGATCATGAATAATATATTATAATTAATATAATTTTTCCAAAAATTACAAAACTCAACAATATAAAAGTTTCGTAAAATAAAAATAAAAAGATACAAAAGATTTTAATGAAAAGATAATTGAAAATGATAATCAAAAAAAAAAAAATAAAATAAAATAAAATAACTAAAAATTCTTATATTTTAAAAATATTTTATGATATTTTCAATCTAAAATGTATTATAAGAAAAAATGTGTTATAAAAAAAGATTTGTCCAAATTTCATACATCATAAAATGTTTTATGAAATGTAAATAGAAATTATTAAAAATTTTAAAATATTCATTTCATAGTTTAAAAATATTTTTTAAGAGAGAAAGAGAAATTAAATCCATTAAAAACTAATTTTATTCCATAAAATTTTTAAATAAAGAAATTTATAATAGATAGATATATAAATTATAATGATTTTAGAAAAAAAAATTTATAATAATAATAACTCGATAATAACTTAAAAATTGTTATGAAAAAATTATATATATGTAAATTAGATATTATATTATATATATACATAATTAAGACTATATTACATTACATACACAATATATATACAAAATATATTATAAATAAATTTATAATATTAAAATATATTATAAATATATTATAAATATATTACATTATAAAAACTATTTCATTTTCTTTTTAATTAAAATACCATGATAAAATATTATTTTATATTAATATTCCATATATCTAAAAATTAAATCTTGTACAATATGTGTGTCAAATATTTGAGATATAACTTCTATGGATATATAGATTGGATCATTGATCAAGATAAGAATTCGATTTACACGTTTTTCTCATCTTAATATGCGATTCATAAAGTGTCACTTCTTATAGAAAAATAAAATGTTTATCAAAATAATTTATTATCGAAAATTTAAATATTAAAAATAAATTCTATAAAATATTTCTTACAAACTTTTAAAATTAATAATATTTCTTATTAAAAATATTAATTAACGATAATCAAAAAATATTTATATAATATTAATATTATATTTCTTTGAACTATTAAATACTTTTAAATATTTATTATTGTATCAAAGAAAATGTATTTTTATGTTTTCAGAATGTATTGAAGGACAAAGTGGTTGCAAGAGATGTAGAGATGGAACATGTGCAAGATGTGCAGTTCTTTTACATCAAGGTACTTGTGTTGATACTTGCCCACCAGGCCATATTGCAGATTGGTCAACTAGAGATGAATACATGGGAAAAATTTGTAAAGAAACAGGATATATGTTTGGATTTACTGGTAGTCAAGTAGCTATTTTGGTGGGAGTTGTTTCTGGTGCAACTATATGTATTCTGATAATATTATGTGGAGCTATAATTGTACATAGAAGAAAAAAAAAACTGTTAAGTTAATCCAACAGTTTGAGGACAGGTACTTTATATATATCTAAAAAATATATCTAAAAAATATAATTAAAAATAAAAATATTATATATAAAGTTCAATTTCAATCATGTTTTAGTGCAGAGAGAAGAGAATTTTTAAAACATTTGGCAATATTGAGAGGAGAAGGCAATACATTTCTTTCCATGCTCAATGATACTAGAAAACAAGTGAGAGAATTATACTATTCTGGAAATAATGGAGATGGTGCTGTTGGAATACAAGCATATAGGTATAATTATATAATTAATATAAATTGATTGATATATTCTTTTTTATTATGATTATGATTTATAGACCAGTTCTACGTGATTTGGCAAGGATATTAGTTCTTATTAATAGAAGAGATGATGAAATACCAGTTCCTCCAGATGATTGGCAAAGACTTTTTTCATGGGCAGAAAGACTATTAAGGCGATATAAAAGGCATAGTTCTCCTGAAGTAAGTTAATTAATTTCATAAAAATTAATTTTAAAAATATTGTAATTCTAAAGTTGTTATTTTAAATTTTTTTTCACGCAAGTCTCTAAAACACTTTGGTGAGTCATGCATGTTAAAGAATAACTGGATATATATAAAAAAAATTATTTTTTAAATGAAATGACATAATCAAATTTATATATTATGAATTTTAAAAGATAATATCTTATATTTTAAGGTGGCTCAACTTGTAACATTCTTGCAACAACCAACAGTATCCGTCCAAATGAATTTACCACAGCAAATAACAATCACACAATCACTTCAGTCTTATGAACCAAGAACCACTCCAACTAATCTGACTACATTCCAACCAAATGTACCACTTACAACATTTCAAGCAAGTGACAAATCAAGTATTAGTCCTGCTAGTTCCAGTCTTGGATATGTAAAAGACAGTCCTGTGAGTTCCAGTCTTGGACAGAATAGTTCTGGAGTTTATAATGAGAAACTTAGTCCAAATGGATCTAGCATAGGTCAAACAACTCCACTAGTATATGATAACCAAAAACGATTGAAACCTCCAAATACACATTTTCAGGAACTTGCTATTTCGACTTTTAATCATAATTATAATACTGGTGCATTAACAGAATCTAATTGTACAATAGATGAATGCGAAGCAAATGGACTTGATCGCGAATTAAATCCTCAATGGGAATTTCAAAGTAGTACAGAGGCTGCTAATTATACTATTTTATCAGATTGGTCACCTGCTCGTGAATACCTCATTGATGACTTTACAATTCTTGGTTTTCGACCACAAGATGAAATTACCACAGAACTGTAAATAATATATAATAATATACATAATTTATATATTTTTTTTTAGTATTTGCTCATAAAGATACATTTTCTATACTAAAAGGACATATTTCATATTTTTTTCATTGATTTTAAAATTATAATATTTGAAACTATTGAAAAATGTTATATATTTTCATATTGGATTAATTTATTTGTATTTAATATATTTTCAATCATTTTCATAAAATGAAATTTTAAATAAATATATTATTCTATATTGTTTTTTAAATGTTCAAATATATAGAATATTTTATAATCATTGTTGAGATAAGTTGAAATATTTTCCATACTAAAAGAATAAAAAAGTTTTTTATTATATTTTAGAAAAATAAAATAAAAAAAGGAATTCAATTTTTAAAAATCCAAAATAAAAATTTAAAAATCACATTTTGCATATTATTTAATAATGCATATTATTTAAATATTAGATAAAAAAAACATATTAACTTTATCAATTCGTTTTGAGTAACGAGTCGAACAACATTAAAAAAAAAAATATTGTAATTTATTAGTTTACATTTAAGTTTTAACTTAACATAGCAGATATAAGATATAAAGATATATATCAATATTATGTTTTGATTTTATAATTAAAGAGTATACAGCATAATTTAAAGTCCAAAATTTTTCAAATTATATTTTTTTATTTCTTTTAGTTTAAACAAAATTATTCTCTATATGATTTTTAAAAATTAATATATATATATATATATATATATATGTATGTATGTATGTATGTATGAATGAATGTGTATATGCTCATGTATGTATTATGTATGTACGAATTTTTTGATAAAACGAATTTATAATGATACCAAATAATTATAAGCGTTTTAATTTAGATAATATTCTTTATTTAATTTTTATATTACGAATGTTTAATAATTATTATATAATTACTATACTAGTCAATATTTTCTTTCATAAATTTGTGTCACAAAATTACATTCTTTGACCATCAATAATCTTTGATCATCATTAAAATAATTTCAAATATAATTTTAATTAATTTTAAATCTTTATTACAAATATTTTTTGTTCATACACCAACATATCATTATTATGAAAATATTACAGTAAAAAATATATATATAATACTGATTGCTATTATAACACTTGTATATTGTTACATAAAGAACCAAAATGGTCAATTGTATGTAAAATTGATGTAAATATTATTAGTAATTGTAAGAGGATTATAAATATAATTATATTATATATTATAAATATAAAATATAATTATAAATATAAAATAAATATAATATATATTCGTAACATAATTAAAGTTTTTCTTTTTTATATTTTTAATCCTTTTCCATATAAGTTATATAATAATAATAATAATAAATTATAAAATAATAATAAATTACGTTTAATAATATTATTGTTTTTACAATTTTAGAATTTTTTTTATTATATAAGATAAAATTTTATAAATTTTATATTTTTTTATTGTTTTTTATAAAAATTTAATGTTTTTATTGAAAATCATTATTTAATATAAAAAATATATAAATAATATAATATTATATTTTAATAATATAATATAATAATATAATATTATATTTATATGTAAGAAAATATATGATCGTAAGAAAAGAAAAATTAAAAAAATATAATATAAAAAATAATATAAAAAAAAACAAAAACAAATATCTTAAATATATAATTGATTAATATTCAATAAGAAATTATATTCATATTATTTTAAATTTTATTGAATTTCTAACTTGGCGGTTTTTAATACAGGAAGTGATCAAACGGCGCGCGCACCCGGATGCTGCGCGCGCATGCTGAATGAACTAACAAAGAACACTTGACAAATTTCATTTTACTATATTACGAATTAGATAGTTTATTTCCATATAATTTTAATAGAAATTTGTTTTCCATCATAGCAAGTTTATTTATAGAATGATTTTTAAATAGAAATCGATCAAAAAGTGGTCCACTAAATGATACCCTAAACGCGTAAGTTCCTGCGGGGTGGGCGAAGGACGCCATGACAGTCGTATTTTCTGTTAACTGTGAGCACGTATGCTCTTGCCAGCGTTTTCGTGAAATTCTTGGCCAGTTTGATATCTATCTGGATCAAAATTGGCAAGCCCGTTTCCTGAATTTGGCAAACTTTGCTTGGAATATATTCTGGAGGTGGAGGGCGAGGGCGCGTGGCCATTATCAGGGATTTGCTTGTGGGTACCCGTGGCGAGGTGAGACGTCGAGAGGTGGCGAAAGGCGTCCCCCCTGCGTCGGGACGCGCGTCTCCCTGTATACGAGACGGCCTAGGGCCGACGAAGCGAGATGCCAGAACCGCCGACGGCACCGTACACCACGTGAGTTCACTTTCCGAGCTCTCTTGATTACCACTCCGGCCCTCTTGAACAGTTTCTGTAAATCCCCTTACCCCGAATCCCGTGGAACCTCCATCTTGTAGCCTCTTGTCCTCGTTCTACGAGTCACGATAATTGACGCGTCATATGCTTGAGACACCAGAAGATGGTGCCCGTGAACCCTCTCTTAAATACGAGAGGATATACGGCGAGTCCTGGCAAATGTGGAAGCACAACTGCGTACTCATTCAAGCTACTGGTACGCTAACATTTTAATATTTCATTATCAATCTTTGCTGCCTTCAAAAGATGGTATTGGATGACTCACCCTTTCCCGCTCACTCGACAAAAAACTCTTAAATATCTATGAGGTTAAATTAACTACTTTCTTTTTTCTTTAACATATCGATACTTTCTTTACTATATTAACCTAACACATGAGCATTATATAATGATAAGTGTCCGCCCAATGATGTCCTGAGTTCATTGTATTTAGAAAGAGTTATTTCGCTTATTGATATTAAACCAATTGATTTCGAGGTTAAATCACAAAATTTATTTTACTAGAATTGATACAAAAAGCAATGTAACTATTTTACTATATAATTATATATATAATTATATATTTTCTTCTATAATAATATTAATTTCAGTAATTTTTATTTTATAATTAATGAATATATTATTAAATTTTATTTAAATATTTGTCTAAAATATCAGTAATAGAAAATAATTTTAATTAAATTATTTTACAGGATGAAAAATGAAATGTATCAAAAACATTTAATTAGCATCCTTCAGTGAATAAAAATGAATAGTGAGCAGCATGCGTTGCCAGCGACTACGCAGGCACAACAAGAGGTAAGAATATTTTCAATTGACACAGGCTATTTACCAAACTACAAATGCGCAACTAATATGTTAAACAGTTATAGTTTAAAAATACTATGAAATAAATTTGATTTATTATTTATTAAAAAATTCCTATAAATTTTTTCTTTATTTATAAAATTTATAAATTTTAAATTTAAATTTATAATTTATAAATTTATAAATCTTTCAACAATTATATACATATATATATATATATACACGTATATATATATATATATACACATACACACACACACATATATATGATTACTTTTATTCTAAAGCATTAATTTCTTTTTATAGTATTTGTTACTATTTTTGTTTATAATTTTTACTTATGTCTGCTTAATTTTTTTGTGCAGTTTTATATAATGTATGATTATTTGTGTTTGGCACTAGAAATCAGAATTATATGTAGATAATAAAGTATTATATAAAATTTGTGATATTTTCTTTCTGAACTTAACTGCTTGTAGTAAATTTGTAAATGAAGTAGCTTTTGCTTGAATATTTTATATTTATCAGCTTGTTCTTTTTGCAATATAAATATTTATAAAGCATATTTTTTATATTAAAGAAAATAAATCTCTATAAATAGTATGATGTATTTTATAACATTTATATACATTATACTATAATATTAAATATAAAGAAATATATAAACTTTTTTTAACATTCAAAATGTTTATTTTGTAATTTAGATTTAGATATAATTGTATTTTAATTTTTGTTAAAATGTAAAATTTATTTATAAGAATGGAAAATATTGGCTATGGTTGCACGAATTTAATAAAATTTAATTTAGCTTTTGTAATGCTGGAGAAAATAAATTTGGAATTTAGCGCATTTGTCGATTGGATTTAAGCCTGGTGCATGCTGTTGCATGCTCTATCAATGTTGTACAAATGTTTGAATGTATATCGGTAGGATGTAAACGCGGGTCAAAGTGGTCGTCCTTCATACCCAGGTGGTTTGGCTACAGCAACCAGTCTTGGCAATGTAGGGAGTACCCCGCATTCATCCGCGGACCTGCGTGTAGGTACAGCTGTAGCGTTAGCCTCCTCGGTAGCTAAATATTGGGTCCTCACCAATCTCTTTCCTGGACCGCTACCTCAGGTCTCGGTCTATCATCATTCCCACCACAACTCCTCACATAGGAGTAGTGGAGGTGGAGAGGCATCTTCCAAAGAACCAACCTCTTCATTGAACCAAGAAATGGCATTGACTTCCAATTCGCATCATCAGTCAACACCTACACATCATCATCATCAACCTTCAGTTAGCAGTAGCAGTCATCATAGTTCTTTACAACCAAATTCACAGGTTTGTTTTCTTAGAGATATGCGATGATTAGTTATTGAGTGTAGCTTATAAATGACCCAGATTTAGTATCTGCATTTGCAGGAGTATGGTAATATATTGTGATATACTATAATACTATAAGTGTGAGTAGAAAGTAAAATTGCTTGTATAATACATACACATGGAATGCTTGCACATTTATAATTTAAAATATTGCTTTAACATTATAGTTTTTTATATTATTTTTTTTTTAATATTTCATATATAATTATATGCTAATTGTTATAATATAAATATATATGTATGTACATACATACGAGCGCGCGCGCGCGCCCATACACACACACACACACACACACACACAAAACTGATACTGTTTTCAACTGTTGCATTTATTATCTAATTTATAATAATTTATAAAATAAAAAGCATTTAAATAAAAAATATATTTTATTATTAATTTGATGATATTTTAAACTTATCTAATTGTTTATTTATAATTTATAATTTATTTATATCAAGAAAGAATATGATAATATTTTTTATTTGTATTT